GCTCTTGCTTAGCAACCAAAATGTTAGCTCAGAAACTCTGGCATTGAAGTGTGCAAGTCTTAAAGCTGTCAAGTTACAAGATCCTTGTAACCCTAACCCTTTAGGAAAAAAAATACCCAGGGGTGTTCAAACTTGACAGCTTTAAGACTTGTGGACTTCAACTCCCAGAATTCCTCCTCTCGCTCTTCATCTTGATGATGTGCAGATGGGGGGGCGGGGAGGGAGCTGGAACCGGTTCTAAACGGCACTATAGATTTGTGGAACCTCTTCTATAGAAGAGGTTAGAACTGGCAGGAACTCACCCCTGGTTCCAATCACCAGGACTACCAATATTACATCCCAGAGTTTTGAAAGAGCAGGCACATGTGATCTCAGAAGCACTGAACCATATCTTTCAAAAATCCTAAAGTACCAAGGATCTACCAGAGGACTGGAAAAGAGCTGATGTGGTTCCCATCTTAAAAAAAAAGAGGAGAAAACAGATTGAGGAAACTACATATCAATCAGCCTGATATTAATACCTGGGAAGATAATAAATAAATTATTACAAATATCAAAAAAGATAATAAAAAAACAGATTTGTGAACACCTAGAAGCAAGCAAAAGTAACAATGAGAGGGAAGGTTAGCCTATTTTCCAAAGCACCAGAAGGAAAGACAAAAAGCAATGGAAACTAACCAAGGGGGGAAGCAACATAGAACTAAAGATAAACAAGTGGAACTGCTTGCCTTCAGAAATTCTGGGTGCTCCATCACTGGAGGCTTTTCAATATATACTGAGCAGCCATTTGTTTGAAACGGTGTAGGGTCTCCTGCTTGGGCAGAGAGTTGGAATACAAGAACTCCAAGGGCCCTTCCAACTCTACTATTGTGTTCTGTTCTCTTCTGTTGTGTTCCAGTTCTATTATCCAAGAAAAGCAGTTGAGAGTGAGGATACTCATTTTTGTTTCAGTGTACTTTATTTTTAAATGTTTGGGGTACTGATTGCATATCGCCTATATAATGTGTAGTCTGGTCCTAAGTAATGAAAGATTGGCATCTCCTGGTGGGGGCTGGGAGAGAGCCATTGCCCCATCTGGATTGCGTCTAAGGTGATTTGATGATATAGAAGGAACTTGATTTACAACTGCTATTTCCTGCCTCTCAAAAGTGGGTCATATATTAAATTCAAGAGCTATGCATTATTTGTGCACAAGATCCTTCCCTGAAGGACAGTGGTATCTGTCATACCATATTGCCCTCCCTGGTTCCTGACACTAATTTTGTTATACTGAATGTACAACCTCAATAAAGTGTCCTTTCAATACAGTTATTAAATGACTGTCCAGAACAAGATACACACTCCATTCCCTTGCCTTCCCCCAACAGCTTTGCCAGAGCCTTTATCAAGCTCTTTGAAAGGTCTTCTCAATTACTCTATGAAAGGGCGTGGATGTGTATTGGACAAATGACTCCAATTTATAGATACCCTACAGGGAATCTCTGATGGTATCAGCTCAAAGTACTTGGCACTAATTGCATTGGGTCCATTAACTTGTTCCAATACCTTGGGCATGCAGGGCTATAAAACCACCACTTGTCAACTCCAAGCACAGGAGGTGAGCTGAATGCAGCTAAGTATCTCCAAAGCCATGAATGCCATTGGTGTTGCAGCTATGGCTGAAAACTACCAGAGGTTCGACCCCTTGGCTTACTTGCAGAACAACTATGTGGCACCACGTGCCAATTTTACTAGTGAAGAGTTTGTGGTGCCCTGGAAGCTTCGATGCCTGGCAGATGCCTTTGCCACAGGTAAGGAGTTACCAAGGTTTACATTAGTTGGAAGGGCCTCTTGATACTGAACATTATTTTTTTTCTGGCTGGAACATTCTGTGGTCTCCCCTCCTAGATTATTTCCTCTCCTGTTAATAGAATATTTGTTAATACATTGTCGAAATGCTAACCTTGGTAATCAGGAACAAAGAACAAAACAGAACAGAACAGAATAGAATACTTTATTACGAAGGGTGAGTGGATACATAAGGAATTTGTCTTTAGTGCATAAACTCTCTTATGTACATACAACAACAAAATTATAGGTCATAGGTCATAAATCATAGTTACAACCATTAATTATATGACACAAACAACAAGTGATAAATCACAAGAAAGCAATAGGGGAAGATAGTAAGGAAGATGAGAAATGAGAAGATGAGAAAGATGATAATAGCTACATGGGTAAATATCTTAGGCCTAAAACAATGCTATGGGAATTAAGTGTTCAGCAGAGTGATGGCATCGGGGAAGAAACTATCTTTGAGTCTAGTTGTTTGGCATGCAATACCCTATAGTGGCGTCCTGAGGGGAGAGAAGTTGAAATAGATTATGTCCAGGATGTGAGATATTTTCTCAGCCCTCTTTCTGGCTCGTGTAATATTCAGATCTTAATGGAAGGAAGGCTGACTGAAATTATTTTTCTGCAGTACTAATTATCCATTAAAGTTTGTACCTGTTTGTACCTGTACCATACAGTTATTGAGGTACAAATGACAGACTCAGTAATTCCTCTGTAGAACTGTATCAGCAGATCCTTGGGCAATCTGAGCTTTCTGAGTTTATACTCAGGAAGAACATTCTTGTTTGTGCCTTTTAAATGATTGTGCTAATGTTAGGTGTCCATTTTCAAGTCCTGGGAGATAATACAACCCAGAAACTTGAAGGTCCCTATTGTTGATACCTTATTGTCTAATATTGTAAGAGGTGGTAAAATAGGAGAACTTCTTCTAAAATCTACAATCATCTCTAAGTGTATTTAAGTGTATTCAGCTCCAGTTCAGTTCTGGTTGCACCATAGGGACCGTTGATCTACCTCTTGCCTATGTGCAGAATCGGTTCCACCACAAAAGCGCGCCTGACTAAACTGCGGTGTCTAACGCGCGGTGACAAAACCGTGCGACAAATGAGCGACTAATTAGCCCTAAAGTGCGCCGACAGAAGCGCGCTGTAACGTAACCCTCAACCTAACCCTCAACCTAACCCTAAATCTAACCCTAACCCTAACCCTAACCCTAACCCTAACTGTAAATCTTACCTTAAATGAAATTAAGGCGCGCTTATGACGTTCACGCTTTTGACGGGTCACGGCAGAATCATCATTTCGAATGAGACCAATGACTATTTATCACCTGCAAACCTCAGTATTTTAAAAGAAAAATTCTCCAAGATGCAATCATTGATATATAGAGAAGAGTAATGGAGAAAGCACACAATCCTGTACTAAGTGAATGGGTATTTGATGCGATTTTCCCTAGCTTAACCTGCTGCTTCCTATTCGTTAGAAAGTTTATAATCCTGCAAGAAGAAGCTAAGATCAATGTAGAGATGTTATTAATTTTTTTATTTCTTTTTTCTCAATAGATTTTAGACTGTGTTTGTTAAAAATCTATACCCTGTATGGGTTCTGGGAAGTTGGGAGGGGAAGGTGGTGGGGGGTCGGGAGTCGGGT